TACCTTTAGGCACAGAGTCTTGTATTATATTTGTAGTTGATGCTCTCTTTTAAAGATGAAAAATCAAACTATTGGAAATGAATAGCTAAATCACTTGATAAGAAAACATGTCCAATTCTCTGTTTTCTCAGGATTTTTCTCAAGTGGGCGCTAAGTTGTCTTTTCACAATTCTTCATTTTGAAATTGGTGCTAGTATGTGTTCAAGCTATTGTGAGTCTGTGGAGCACTCACTTACACCCACTTGTTTCAATACTGTTGCGATCATTGCAATTTAATAATTTTCTTATATATGATTGAGTTGTGACTTGTAAGGTTGCCTCAAATTCAGATATTTATATTGTTTCTATTTAGAGCTGGCTTCAAATGTCGGAATGGTCGATTGTCAGTCGAATGCTCTCTGCGACACCCATGTCGACACAACGCCTCTTGATCGACAGTTGGAACTCACAACATAATAAGCTATTTCTCTATGAATTAAAATCTTTGTTACTACCTGCTGTATGGTGTATTTGAGTTAAGTTTTACCGCCTACATTTTCAAATTTTCTTTTTTGTTTTGATCGACTTCCTGCCCTCGAATTAGGTCTCGGGGCCCCTCGAGATTTACCCTCGAGATTTATTTTCAATGGCTGCCTGGAAATAACAACAGAAATCGTAGTTTTTGTCTATTTACAGGGTGGGCCAAAAAATTTTGCAACTTTTTTAAAAAGCTTGAAAAGGATCATAACATTAAGGTATTGACATGAAAATTCATATACAGAAACTTTAGGATAGGCATATTATACCATTCAAATATTTAAGGTAATACTGACTTCAAATTTTTTCAACAGATCTTTGAATATCAGTGGTAAATTGTTCATGTGTCCAAGATTTACCATTTTTCCTAGAAAATGTGAATTTCTATGATTTTATGTGATTAACAATAAAACATTCATTATGTTCACTAAATCTGCTACTATCTTTAATAATTGTTTAACCAATGGCTAGTACAGTCTAGTAAGTATCTACTATGGTATTATTTTATACTGTATCTATTAATTATTTATTTAAAAAATGTTCCATGCATCCGCCTTTTACCTTCACTATCACACAGACACAAGGGCGTAGCTGCAATGGCGCCATCCAGCGATTCTTGTGGTACTTCTTTCCACTTCTCCTAACTTCTTTTAGTTGATCAATAGTGTGTGGGGATTACCATTAACTGCAATAAACTGCTCCAGGTGCCTCCATGTGTGATAGTCACAGGGGTTGGCATTTGGTGTATTGGGCAGCCATTTATAAGGACTAATAAATCTAGAGGTATCATCCTCCAGGTATTCCAAAGTGACCCTTGCCCGATGGCTGGGAGCGATAGTGAAGGTGAAAGGTGGATGTATGAACATGTGATTAATAAATAATTAATAGATACAGTATAACATAATACCATTGTGAGTAGATACCGATATAAAACTGTCCTAGTATATTGAATAAACAGTTATCAGAGATTGTAGCAGATTTAGTGAACATAATGGATGTGTTATTGTTGATCACATAAAATCATAAAGTCACATTTTCTTGGAAAAACAGTAAATCTCGGACACATGAACACTTTACCATCGATATTCAAAGATCTGTTGAAAAAAATTGAAGTCAGTATTAGCTTAAATATTTAAATGGTAAAATATGCCTATCCTAAAGTTTCTGTATATGAATTTTTATGTCAATACCTTAATGTTATGATCCTTTTCAAGCCTTTTAAAAAAGTTGCAAAATTTTTTGGCCCACCCTGTATTGCTTTTTCGTCAAAGTCTCATACTTAAACATGGTTTACATGTAAGTTAAATATAAAACATACAAGTGAGGATGACTATTGTGCATCGTATTGCTAATTACAATACTATTAATTTTTTTTCATTTTTTCCAATATCATTGGACCCGACAATGTCGATATCGTTGTCGATCGAGAGCTCCGACATGTCGACATTAAAATCCTATTCGATGCCAGCTCTATTTCTATTAGAACTCTGATTTATCATCAGTCCCTCTTTATCTGACCCTACTATCACACCAAACTCATAATGTTCTCTTGGTCGTCACGTTCTACAATTAGAGCGAGTGACAACCTACTAACAATGAGCTAGACGTACTACGAACGGAACCGTCAAACTTCAATCCTACTAGGGACGTTTTTACAACGAGTTGAACTGTCTGAGGATGTATTGAAAACAAGGTAGAACTAATTGCAAACGGGTTAAAACTGATTAAGAATGTATTTATCAACGAGTTAGCAAAAATATATCTATCATACCAAGCAAGTTGCCACTGCGTTCTTCAAAACTGGTTTTAAACTGTGTGCGAACGGAATGAACGTATTGTTCTACGGTCTGTTTACGAACCTCATGGACTTTCATGGACGGGGAATGTGATTTAGAATTTTGAATCGATTCAAAATTCGATGGCGACCATACCATTCTAAGGGACGCGTTATACAGCGTTGCATACCGACGTAGTGCGACCTGAACGAACTGCGAATGAGATGGACATATTGAAGACTGTTTATGAATGAAGTAGCTAATTATTTTAGACATATTTCCCGACCACAGCCAGATTGAGCCCGTTTTTTCGTAGGACTGGCAAGAACGGGTAAGAACTAGTTTGGTGTGATAGGGGGGTAACAGGTTTGTGAGGTTGAGCAATATTGGTGGGCCATAATGGTAATATTGGTCGTTTCTGCCCTGGTCTACAGCGAATAATGAGTTTGTACTTACATATAGTTTTCAATAGGTGGTGATAATAGTAATAACCTCATTTTAGCAGGATTCTTCAAAGGTTTACAGTTAATGAGAAAGTCAATTACGTGTCTATTACATGTCTCTTGCGTGACAGTTTCTTTATCCTTGGTAGCTCAGCAACAAGATGGCATTTGCAGTAATCATTCTTGTCATGATCGTGATAATGTCTTTTGTTTGTGAAGTCCAGGTTGTCAAATGGTTACACAGAGACTTGTCAGTTTCTTAAAGAGATTACTCGGTAAGATGTTGTTCTGAGTGACCAGTCCCTAAAATAACACAATATTTTTGTACTTACAGTAAATATTTTAAAATGCAAAATAAATTGGTAAATCTAATATTATCAATAACATCGACTCAGCAGAAAATTTGACATTTCTCTCCAAAAAAGATAAATTGGCTTTGAAGTTTGCCTTGGGTAAAAGAACATGATTTAGATTCTTTAGCATATTGATGGATTGATCGAACCCTTCCTAAGAGCCAGTCTTAATCTACAGTGATCTCCCCAGCAAAGATAGTGGGGGCAGCACCCACCTGAGATTTTGAAAATAGGTTTGCACCCACCTGAAAATCCATTTGTACCTACTTGAAAATGAGAAAAATCATGAAAAACTGGCATATTTTGGCCAATTTTGGTCTTAATTGTGAAAATTAGAATTTTGCACCCACTTGAGAAAAAATCCTGTAGGGATCACTGATCTAATTAGAGATTTTCTCAGCTCTTGCCTTCTCCCAGATGTATATACTAAGAAAATCATCACTAACTACATTGTACAGTGTACATTGATTTTATATCTTTTACTTTCATTGAAACATTCACTTAAAGCAATGAAAGTCACATTTGAGATCGTTAAGATTCTAATCATAATCAGAACAATTAATCTATTGCAGTCAGTGGGTAGTGTGCTTAGTAAACAGATATTCAGGATCTAGACTCATAATCTTATTAGAGATGGGCTGTTAGTTAAACTCATTTAACAAACCCCAGATTTATGTGATCTGATTTAAAATGTATTTTGGAGGAGAATGATAGTTTGAATTATGAGGCATTATATAGCCATGCTATTAAAAATGTATAGCATTAATCAGCTATATGTCTTTCAAAATGCCAGGAAACTAATGTATATATTCCAGAGGGAATGGTATTGAATAACTTGAGGAATGACATTTAAGAATGGAATGTTGTATCTAAGGAAATAATAAAAATATTGTTTAAATCAGGTGAAAGACCTTTAACACTGTTTCCTGTGTGATATTTATGTTATTTATGAAGCCTTGAAATATCATTGATATTTAACAGATTTAACATTGCATAATAGCTATTGAAAATTATAGATTTTTAAGTTAAATCAATAAAAATGTTATTTGTTAACAAATGAAATTGGGGAAAGAAAATGTATCAACTAAAATTGTGAGGTCAGGCCAAATATTGGTCCTTCTTAAATATATGATAATGCAGGCAAAATAGAAATCAAACTTTTTTTGCCCAAAAATTTCTGGCAATTTTGGCCCATCTAAAAATGTATGAAGTCAGGCTAAATGTTGGTCCATCTAAAAATGTATGAAGTCAGACCAAATGTCGGTCCATCTAAAAATGTATGAAGTCAGGCTAAATGTTGGTCCATGTATGAGATCAGGCCAAATGTCGGTCCATCTAGAAATGTATGAAGTCAGGCTAAATGTTGGTCCATCTAGAAATGTATGAAGTCAGGCCAAATGTTGGTCCATCTAAAAATGTATGAAGTCAGGCTAAATGTTGGTCCATCTAAAAATGTATGAAGTCAGGCTAAATGTTGGTCCATCTAAAAATGTATTAAGTCAGGCTAAATGTTGGTCCATCTAAAAATGTATGAAGTCAGGCTAAATGTTGGTCCATCTAAAAATGTATGAAGTCAGGCTAAATGTTGGTCCATCTAGAAATGTATGAAGTCAGGCCAAATGGTGGTCCATCTAAAAATGTATGAAGTCAGGCCAAATGGTGGTCCATCTAAAAATGTATGAGATCAGGCCAAATGTTGGTCAATCTAAAAATGTATGAAGTCAGGCTAAATGTTTATCCATCTTATCTGTCTGTTGAAGGAGGAGCATTTTCGTATCCTTTAAGAGTGATACTTGAATGCTTATGTATATATTCTGAATACTATGTGTTCTAACTCAAAGCGTATATCAAAAATTTCAGATTTGTAGAATGATTCAAACCTATGTTTATATATCATATTTTGTATATTTCAGATTGCATGGACAAAGTTGAAGACGATTCCTATATGTGTGGTAAGTGCCATTTTCTTGTACATTGAGTCAAAAATTTAATAACATTAAAATAGAAATATATTTGTGAGAGTTCAATATAATTATTCATTAATTTATATTTTCTATATATTTTTGCTCATGTTTTTAGTCTCTAACTCCACAAGAAAATAACAGTTTTCCAATCAGATGGTGGCATATTGTTAGCAAATGAATTATCTTTAAAATGATAAACAATACATGGCATGGTTTAACTTCAGTGTATATCATATGACATTTATCCTTAATCTTGGGTATTGGTTTTTGGCCCACCATGTAGATAGGATTTTTTGGGTTATTTTGGGTTAAATAATACTAGGGTTGTCAAAGTTGGAGATTTTCAGAAATTACTTAAAAAGTTCAAGGAATTTCAAGTGAATGGAATTTTAAAAATTGGATAACATTTACTGGAAATATTCATGAATTGACAAAAACACTTAAATCAAATAAATATTTTGTAAATTCTATGCATGAATCGAGGAAAGTCAGTATTTATGATTTGAAAATGTTATAGCAACCCTGAATAGAGACAATGTCCATTCATATAGCTTCAAATGTTTCTTTCTTTTCTTTTTGGTAATTCAATGAGCCTTGGCAGGTTTTAATCAAAGAATATCGATAAAGAAGCCCTCAACATTTTTTATTTAACATGAAATCCAATGGTATGTGCGCTGTTGCACAATAACAACAGTGTTCAAGTATCCCTTTTATTTTCTTTTAATAAAGCTTTGACATTCAGTGGATTATGGCGATTAATCTCTTTCAACATGAGAGAATTGATTTTTTTTACTTATTTGAAATGTTTCCATGTGTATTATAGGATTTAGATTCAGCAGGTTATCATAGTAACTTTGATATGTAAACAGATAAGATTTTTAAATGTATCAAAGGTTTTATCATGTTATATAAGCCTCATTACCAATATATTTATATAAGGTATGATCGGATTCTGTCTTCATTTCACCATATATATTTTATGATAAACTCTGCCGTATAATGTCAAAAGACAAAGCATCAGAATATGATTACTAAATTAATAAAAAATTCAATCCTCATGCTACGTTAAAAGAAAGGATCTTTTAGGGCATAAATGAGCAAAATGTTTTCAGGGTCATCATGACCTTAGTCAAGCATCTTTCTTTCAACTCTGATGTGATGATTGTTAATATTTGGACACATTGCTTGAAAATTTTCCTGTTGATTTCCCCCAGGGTTAGATGCATTAATAGTTCAGGTGTAAATGCACTTACCATCCAGGGATAGCTTTGGATTCTGTCAAAAATACATTGTCCTCAAGAAATCCCTTTTAAGGTTCTTGCTAGCTATACTTGCAACGATTTTTACCCAACAAGTTGTCAGCTTCTTATCTATTTTGATTGCATGAAATACATTATTCAGATGTCTTTGATGACGCATTTTATAAAAAATATGATTGAATTCATTCCCTGTAGGGTGTTTAAACAATATTCTGAGGGCTTATATAAGCAAAATATAATTTTGAAGGTCATCTTGATCTTATTAAGGCATCTTAAAAAGGAAAAATTGTTCAGAACTGTTCTTAAATTCTAGTTTTATGAATTTTTCAAAATTTCAATGTGTTGCAAATAGGGTTTTCACAGTGTGCAAGGCTATTCTAAATCACTTGGAGTACTCGGCTGCTTTCATGCTTCATGTTGAGGAGATCGAGATCACTTCTAATACGACAGCTGAAAGATGGAAAAATTCACTTTGGAAGAGAATTACTCGCTGAGTATTTGGCGGTTGCAGGATTAGCAGATCAATAGTTCTCTATGTAGCATTATGCGATGTGTGCTTGACCAAATGGCCTTTTGATCACATCGGTGAAAAATTGTCTTTTAATTAGTCCCGATAGACAATAATTTATTAGACCTTTTTGCAGGATCCTTCCTTCATTGTAATTTGGAGATATCTCGCAGGATTAATTTGTGAAGGATTTGGCAGAGATTTTTCATAGGAGTAAATGAATTGTAAATGTATAAATGTATAAAGATACCATAAAGATTCTATGTCATCACGAAGATGTTAAAATATGTTTGATGGGATTTGCCACTCCAATCCGTGGAGTTACTACTTTTGAGTTAAAGATTAGGAGATTGGGTAACAGTCAAAGAAAGCTCAGATTCTTCATCGTGATAGCCGCGCCCCCTTTGTCTTTATCCTCCAAATCCTTCTCTCGCAAATAGCAGATAAGAGGGGCTCTGGCATACCAGAATGCAGGACCATATATTTGACCCTATATTTGAGCAGAATTTTTTTTTTGGAAAACATAATTAGGATTTGAAAGAAACTTTGGATTAGTTTGAACATTTTACACTCAGACTCTTTATCATTTCTCATTCCTTTCATGTTCTCCAATAGTCCCATCTATTTTAAATCAGAAGTCCGTTTTTAGTTTTAGTTTTTGACTAAATCAATTTATTATATATTCAACCACATGATAATTGTGCTGTGGCCATAGGCCTATTGCTTTTCTTGTAATCAAATGTTGTGTTCATCTGAACTTAACATAACAATTGGTATATTGGTAAATTAAAAACAATTCCTTTATTTAAGATGTAGTCAAGAATAAACCATGGGCTTTGAATGTAGAAATGAGCTGGGAATCAATAATGTTTCATTAATTTGATGGACTGTATCTGTTTTCTAGAGTAGGATTACAGTTTGCCAGGTGTAAATATTTTATATCTCAATGTTTATATAGGATTGATTTGATTGAATAGTGATCCCATGATCAAGTGTAATTAATTTTACGCAAGCATCTCCTGTCTGTCTTGTGTGAATGCTGCTGGGAATGGCGGAAATAAAAGTGTTTAATTTGCAGTTTTCTCATTTAGAGAATCTGGTCACTTGTGGAATGAGATATGGGAATGTCATTGTGTTGAATGAGAACATGGGCATAGCCAGACATAACAAGGCTAATTTTGGCTTAGATTTATCTTTAGTCCAGTATTTTATCTGTTCTTTCTGTCCTTGTTGTTCCCTTGGAGAATGTCAGCATTTGGATGGGGTAGAGATGTTAAAGTCGCTCGAGTCATTCTCTTTGGGAATTCACCTTTATATTGCCTCTGAACTACTTACACTTGAAAAATAATTATTTGGGATGTCCTAAAAATCCAAATTGGCTCAAAAAGGTAAAAAGCCCCACCCAATACACCCCCAACCCCGGTTAGGTATACCCAGGCTACTTTATTACATAACTATACTATCCATTACCATGAATAAATAAATAATAAAAAATGTTTTTCCAGTTTCTGGATGAGGTGGAGGTTGAGATGGAAACCTGTGATGAACCAAGGAAACCTAGCAACACTTCACAAATGCCTAGTTACAGGTACCTAGAAAAATCAATGCTAATATTTATTGAATCTTTCTTTGTAAAGTTAGCACAGTTATATATTCATTGTGACATTGTTATGACTTCCAGTTCTGATAACTGAGGGGAGTAGAACGATGAATAAATGTTATTTTTATGTCACCACCAGAAGTGGTGACATGTACCACCAGAAGTGGTGACATGTTATAATCTCAACTTTTTTTGTGGATGGTGTATGGCAGTCGGTGTTTGACACTTGGTGGTTGTTGCTTGGGGTTTGGTATCTGCAACAAATGGCAGTTGGTGACATTTTTCATGTTAATGTCTTATGTATTTTTATTGCAGCTCTGGAGGAAAGTATGGCTTCACAGACCGTGTGGTTGATGGCATTAGTATGTCTATCAACTCTGTCACTGTCAACTTCAAGTCACATGCATTCCAGGCTTCAATACAGGTGATTTTATTTCAATAAACTCTGTCACTGTCAACTTCAAGTCACATGCATTCCAGGCTTCAATACAGGTGATTTTATTTCAATAAACTCTGTCACTGTCAACTTCAAGTCACATGCATTCCAGGCTTCAATACAGGTGATTTTATTTCAATAAACTCTGTCACTGTCAACTTCAAGTCACATGCATTCCAGGCTTCAATACAGGTGATTTTATTTCAATAAACTCTGTCACTGTCAACTTCAAGTCACATGCATTCCAGGCTTCAATACAGGTGATTTTATTTCAATAAACTCTGTCACTGTCAACTTCAAGTCACATGCATTCCAGGCTTCAATACAGGTGATTTTATTTTTTCAACTACTGTAGTTCATTAGTACCATTTTCCATGAACTTATTGATCGACCTGGTATAAGTTTAAACTGTAATTGGTTCAAATTGATTAACTAACCTATTGTAAAACCTGATAATGACCTTTTATGATAATAAAATCCTTTAAACCTTTAAAAAAACTATTGTAAAGAATTGTCAACTCATTATTGAGTTTGAGTAAAGTGAAACCTGTATATCAGATGGTCAATGGGAACACTTTTTTCTGTCCCTTTGTTGTGGCCCATTCACATATTTAGAAACCCTTGAAATGTTAACACTGGTTTATTTGAACACTCTTAACCAGCCTCAGTGGTGTTCAGATTAGACAGGTTTAATTGTATTGTACCTTGAATTGCTCAAATTCATTAAATGTCCCCAGCATATAAACTGTCAGGCTATAATGTCAGCCTAGTGTGTTTAATGTTTCTACCTATTTCAGATCTCTCGGATTCTTGTGAATAGCTGTACACCTAACTGGGCAAAGGCTACTGATCTACGTCATTCCAGAGTCAAGGACACTATTCAAGATGCCCTCATCATATTTAAAGAGGTATGGGCTGACTTTATCATGGTATTGCACCAATCTTAAATTAAGGGGGATGTCTAAATAATTGTGGTTTGGAGGGATGAAACTGGAGTTTAATGTAAGAGACGCATACATATTTCTTGAATGATCACATTCAGATTGATTAAAAGACTTAAATTTTTGGTTCAACCAATCTCTCTACTGTTTTCGGCTGTTTCCTCTATTTTCTGCCCTCTGTTGGAGATAGGAACTCGCTGTGAAAATGAAGAAAGACTTCCATGAGTCAATAATATTGAAAAATAGTAATTGGTCATGTTGACATTAGTCTTGCTGTTAATTGAAAGATGTCTCTTCAGTCATTTAGAGTTCTGAATACAACTTATAATAAAAAGCTACCAATATCAGTTTCAGTTTCATTTTGACGATGTTTTATATATTGCATTGACCGGTCGAGGGATTCCCCTTCAGCCTCCTTGATATACGTCATCAGACTATCAGGAAGTGTGTTGATTTCTTAATTTTGCTAATTACAATAGAACAAGATAATTAATGTCAAAGTAGATTTGATTAAAAGTTACTTAAATCATTGTTCTTGAGTTCTTTACTTGCATAATCCTCAAAGTGGTGTTTTCACCAAAATAAACCTAGAATATCATCATAATATGTTTAATCTGGAAGTTTGTAGACACCATTAGCTTTGTTAAATGTAGAAGTTTTCTATATAAGGCAAGAATGAACAGTTGGTTTATAGGAATACCATGAGGATGGTTGCTGAACAGTTATGGGGGTCCTTATCAGAATTGTGGTTTGGACGGCCTGCACTGTAAGGTTACCCCCTCAGCCACTCTCTTGTCACCCAATGCTATTGTTAGGGAAAGACTTTTAGACCTTTTTTCACGGGTGTTAAAACACGAATATACCATGAGCACATGCTTTGAGGATCCGCGTTGTTTGAACCTACCGCCGAGCACACTTATACATTAAGACCCGTTACACAGTCATGATACTGCCGAGCAAGCTCATTGCATTATCGGGTCTGCTTTACCCCCGTGTTTTTTGTTCCCCTTTAATTAAATATCAATTTTTTCAGCGTTGATGCTGTTTAGCTTCATCAATTCCATATATCCTATTTTCTCAAATGCATATATTTGTTCTTTTATCAGTATACATGTATCAGGTTATATTTTAAAGTTCAAATGTGGCAGTCATTGCACTCTTTTAATCAATTTTGAGATTTTGTTTTTTACCCAGTGTATCAGGTTTATAACAGAATCTTTGTCAATGCATACGGTCAAGTTTGAAGTTAAAAATTCCATCTCTAGAAATTCTGTTTCCAAAACAAACTTTCAATTGTTTCCTGATAGATGAGTACTAACCCTATCAAGAATAAACCTTGATTCATTTATCAAACACTAGATGGCCCTCTGCTAGACCGCTAGTATTCTTACTCCAAACTTTGTTCATATACATATTGTAGTATTTTACCCTTTGCATTCGTTTGACTTAACTTCTTAAAAGAGAGCTTCATCTTCACTCTTTCAAACTAAAATAAACCTGTGAACTCACCGCGCCAATCAGTGTTCGTCGGCAAAATTTGACCGACGTTCTATATATGGTCATTCCTTCTGACGTCATCGTTGAGCCCGGAATTGACCAATGGCATGCGCATATTTAATTAGAACGCATTTGGCGTATGTTTCTTCAAGCTCGCTGAATGGTGGAAGAAAGGTCAGCGCGTAGGTCAAAAGTGATTTATTACCCAAACTGTCACCGGTACCCGTCGTGGGGGCGGGGCTACTAAACTGTAATATGGTCTCTACTAGGCAGAGTGTAGTTTAACTAGACTCTGCACGCAGGGTAGTAGTATTTGGAAAGGATGCCCTCATCATATGTAAAGGGGTCTTGTTGTCAATTGAAAGATGTCTCTCCAGTCACTTAAACCTGCACATCGCTCCAAAACGCAATATGTTGACATATATTGTTTTTACATTTTCAAGCTCTAATATAAAGTTTATGTAAATAAAAATTGTTTTTTCTGCGTAATATCAAAGAACAATCATTTAGTTAAAAAATTAAAAGGGCGAATGCGGGATTCGAACCCGGGCCTACCGCGTGCTAAGCGAGGATTCTACCGCTACACCACCGTGTTTTAATGAATAGTGGAAGTAATTAAACGCTACTTATTTGATTGCTATGATTCGGAAGTGACGTCACGTTCTTCATTTAGAAACCTTTCCAAAATCATATCGCCGGCTCCGATCGAAACAAATTCAATGAAAAATCTTTGAAATGACACACTTATCGTAAGTATTTCTACACAAGATTTTCCCCATTTGTTCATCATTCTATAATCTTTCATTAAGCTCAAAATGATAAAGTTCACCCCCGAAACAACCCAAGATTGCGTTTCGGAGCGAAGTCCAGCTTTAAGCATTCTGATCTAATAAACTACTAAATGTCAGTTTCAGTTTCATTTTGATGATGCATTATATATTTTTGTATGGGCTGGTCGGGGATTCCCCTTTAGCCTACTTGACATACGTCATCAGACTACCAGGAAGTGTGTGGATTTCTTAATTTTGCTAATTGAAAAAGAAAAAAAAAATTTATGTCAATCTTCATTTAATTAAAAGTTACTTAATTCACTGTTATTGAGTTCTATTTTGGCATTACCCTCAAACTTGTGTTTTCATTGGAGTAAACCTAGAACACCCTCTTATTACATTTTATCTGAGAGCTTGTACACACCATAAGCTTTGTTAAATGTGAAAGTTTGGTATATAAGGCACTGCTGAACAGATTCTATATTGGTAGATAAGGGCTGGTGGCAGATCCGTCCTAGGGCAGTTCATCTACCAGTCCTTTCCTACTTGTTGGTAGATAAGGGCTGGTGGCAGATCCGTCCTAGGACAGTTCATCTACCAGTCCTTTCCTACTTGTTTGCTGCATTCCCCCTACTCTTTTGTTCTTTTACATAACTCTCTCCCCAAAACTCTAATACTCTTTTGTTCTGTAAGGTCACCCCAAAATACCAAAACAAAACAATGACCAGTATAGGGCGCAAACAGCCTTCCAACATCAAAAATGACAAGCACATGTTCATGCACATGTTCCATTGAATACAATGAGAAATTTTAGTGGGATTCTGATCATTATTTAAAAAGGATTTTCCTAATTTCAACAAACCGTGTAAGCCTAGTGTTACGTCTTGCAGAGTATTTGATGATGTCCGGGTATATTTAACTTTGAAAATATGGTAGAAACTTTAGGAAAAATAATTTCACTGAAATGTGAATAAAAAATACTTCAAAATGATATATAAAACACATACATAGTTAGCTTTTTAAATAAGGCAGAGATTGACGCTTAAAGCTGAGATTAGCCTGCATTTTCTGAATTGTCCCTAGGTCCATGCTGGTCATAAATAGTTTTTTGTTCTTTGCATCACTCTCTCCTCAAAACTCTAATACTATTTTGTTCTGTAAGGTCACTCTATCCCCCTCATACTCTTTTGTTTGTATTATCACCTTCTCCCCCCAAACTCCTGTACTATATTGTTCTCTCAGGTCAGGTCACCCCCTCCCCTCCCCTCAAACTCTTATACTCTTTTATTCTGTAAGGTCATCCTTTGGGGAATGTCACATTGAAAAGACCATGTGGCATCATGAATATTCTGATTGACAACCTCGAAAGATAGGTAAACCTAAAATAATGGTGGTTTCAGGAATCTGAGCATGTATGGCTGCAATTCAATATACATATGCAATGTTTTTTTGACAGAGCCACTCTGTATTTTAAGTTGCAGAACACTCAAAATGTAATCCGGAGGTTGTTGGTTCTTGTTCTGTAAGGTCACTCTCCCCTCAAAACATAATACTTTTTTGTTCTGTAATGCCCCCCCCCCCCCCTCCTGCCATTCAGACTCTAGTACTCTTTTGTTATCACCTCGTTTAGAGGGGTGAGACTTTAACTTATGCAAAAAAGTTATAGGATTACATATTTTGCCTCTCCTGAATAAATGCATATTATGGAATATTATGCTCATTTTGACATTAGTCTTACTGCTAATTGAAAGATGTCTCTCACGTCATTAGAGTTTTGAACATGTAAATCACTAAATGTCAGTTTCATTTTGATGATGTATTATATTATATACTCTATTGATTGGCAGAAGGATTCATTAGACTTCCAGGAAGTGTGTTGATCTCTTAATTTAGCTAATTACAATAGAAAAGAATAATTTATGTCAATCTAGATTTGATTAAAACTTACTTAGTTAACCGTACCTGAGGTTTGATCCTAACATTACCCCCAAATTTGTATTTTCATTGAAGGAAACCTAAAATAACATTTTATTTGAGAGCTTATAGACACCATTTGCTGTGGTAAATAGGAAAGGTTACAATATAAAGCAAGAATGAATATACTACTAATTGGTTTAAAAATGGTGGTCGAACAGTAATAGGGTGCCCTTATCAGAATTGTGGTTTGGTTGTCCTGTTCTGTAAGGTCATCTTCCTCTGATATACTTCTTATCTCTTCATGTTACTGGATAGTAATGTTTTTTACCTTTTTGTCCCTCCATCAATCGAATATCAATTTTTATTCAATGTCAATGCTCTTTAGCTTCATTAGTTTCATATACAGTGTAACCTATTTTCTCAATGTATAATGCATTCTTTAGTTTGTTCTTTTATCAGTATATCACCTTCCATTCTTAAGTTTAAATGCCATAATTGCACTCTTTTAATCATTTTTGTGATTGTCTTTCTTGACCCATTGGAATTCATAACTGAATCTGTGTCAATACATATGGTGTTCCGCAAGGATGCCCTCATCAAGTTTAATGAGGTATGAGTGGCGTGTCTCAGATCATGTAAGATGTTTAATGTGTTTAGAGGGGTGAAACTGTAACTTGATGTAAGAAAAGGCATGGGATTGCATGGAATTACTTTAATGTTTGCCTGTCCTGAATAACTGAATAACTGTGTATTATGGAATATTTAGATGTGTTATATACACAGAATCAACTTACATTACATTTCTGATGTAATCAATCTCTCAATTGTCCCTAATTACTCTCCTGTGTTGAATGAATAAAGGAACTTGCTGTGAAGATGAAAGAGCACACCATAAATCGATGATATTTAAAAATAGAGGTTCATGTTAATGTTAGACTTGCTGTGAATTGAAAGATGTCTCTCCAGTCATTTAGAATTCTGAAATCAATTTATAAACCAACAATGTCGGTTTCATGTTGATGATGTATTATATATTGCATTGATTGGTGGAGGTATTCCCCTTTACCCTACTCAACATATATCATCAAACTACCTGGAAGTATGTTGATCTCTTTATTTTGCTAATTACAATAAAACAAAATAATTTATGTCAATGTAGATTTGATTAAAACTTACTTAATTCACTGTTCCTGAGTTCTATTCAAGCATATCCCTCAAAGTTGCATTTTAATTGATGTAAACCTAGAATACCATTACATTACATATCATCTGAGACCTTGTAGACACCATATGCTTTGTTATATCTGGAAGCTATCTATATAACACAAAATTGAATGAATCTTGTATTGGTAGATAAGGGCTGGTGACAGATCTGCCATAAGGCAGTTCAATCACCAGCAATTACCTGCTGTTGTTTAAAAATGTACTAACACTCTTTTGTTCTTTTACATCACCCTGTTCTGTTAGGTCACGCTATCCCCCTCATACCCTCAATACCCTCATAATACTCTTTTGTTCTGTAAGGTCAGGCCACCCCCTCCCCTCAAACTCTAATACTATTTTCTTCCGTAAGGTCACTCTATCCCCATCATACCCTTTTGTTTTGTATGATCACCCTCCCAAACTATAATGCTCTTTTATTCTGTCAGGTCACCCGCCCTCTCAAACTCTAATACTATTTTGATATATAATTCCAATCTATCCCCTCATACCCTTTTGTTTTGTATGATCACCCTCTCAAACTATAATACTCCTTTGTTCTGTAAGGTCAGGTCACCCCCTCCCTCAAACTTTAATACTATTTTCTTCTATAAGGTCACTCAATCTCCCTTATACTCTTGATTTGTATGATCACCCTCTCTCCCTCAAAATCCTATACTCTTGTTCTGTAATTTAGTCTGTAGTACTCTTTTAATATCACATCAAGGTTTTAGTTGTTTTTTTTTTAAATTAGAGTTTATATCTTCGAGAGGGTTTTAGATCTATTTGAATTGGATTTATTAAACCTTTATTTATGGTCATAGGTTCACGGGGGTAAAGCAGACCCGATGATGCAATGAGCTTGCTCGTTGGTATCATGACTGTGTAACGGGTCTTAATGTATAATTGTGCTCGGCGGTAGGTTCAAACAACGCGGATCCTCAAAGCATGTTCTCATGGTATATTCGTGTTTTAACACCCGTGTAGGTTCATAGGTCCAAAATATATTAATACACTGACTTGTTCTACTATGTGACCCCATCTGATTACTGTAGTACTCTTTTGTTATCAACTCATTAAGAGGGGTAGAACTTATGCAAAAAAGGAATAGGATTACATATTTTATGTTCGCCCCTCCTGAATAACTGTATTATGGAATATTTGTATCTGTTACACAAAATCATCTAACATTAAATTTCTGGTTTAATCAATCTCTCACCTGTCTTCCCTTATCCTTATTTCTTCCCTTATCCCTATTTCTTCCCTTATCCTTATTTCTTCCCTTATCCCTATTTCTTTCCTTATCCCATCTCTCCTCTTATCCCTATTTTTTCTCTTATCCTAATTTCTTCCCTTTTCCCTATTTCTTCCCTTATCCCTATTTCTTCCCTTATCTCTATTTCTTTCCTTATCCCTATTTCTTCCCTTATCCCTATTTCTTCCCTTATCCCTATTTCTTCCCTTATCCCTATTTCTTCTCCTGTTTTGAATATAGAAACTTGTTGTGAAGATGGAGGAGCAATTTCGATGTGTTGATAACGATAATATTTTTAAAAAGTCTATAGTGGCTCATGTTGATATTAGCTATAGTCTTACTATCAATTGAAAGATGTCTCTCCAGTCACTTAGAGTTTTGATCTTAAAATCAGTAAATATCAGTTTCAGTTTCATTTTGACTATATGCATTTTATATTTTTTGTATGGACTGGTCGAGGGATTCCCCTTTAGCCTACTTGACATACGTCATCAGACTATCAGGAAGTGTGTGAATTTCTTAATTTTGCTGATTACATTAAAACAAATAATATATGTCAATCTAGATTTGATGAAAATATACTTAATACACTGTTCCTAACTTCCATTCTGACATTTCCCTCAACTTTGTTTTTTTCATTGAACTAAACCTAGAATACCCTCATTTATCTGAAAGTTTGTAGACACCATAAGCTTTGTTAAATGTTGAAAGTTTCTATATAAGAGGTAATTGAATAGATGTATATTGGTAGATAAAAACTGAAGAAAAGACTAGGTGACAAGAGTCGTCCTAGGGCAGTCCATCTATCAGTGACTGGTGGCAGAGCCGCTGCAGGGCAGTTCATCTGTCAGTGACTGGTGGGAGAGCCATCGTAGGGCAGTTAGTCTAGCAGTACTTACCTACTAACCCATGATCAAACTCCACTACTTTTTATGTCTTTTGTGGCTGTTATTCTGCATTCAGCAGTTGGTGTTTGGTGTTTCGACATGGCAGGTGGTGGCATTTTACATGTTAATGCCTTGCCTTGTTAATGCCTTTTAAACCAGCCTCTCTCCCAAAGCTAATACCATATTGTTATACAAGGTCATCTTATATTTTTAGACTGCTTATATTTTACTATACCAACTTTAGCAATAGGTGGAGCCATAGTGTTTGGCCATCATGGTCATTATCCACCCTTGTCCACAGCGAATAATGGGTTTGTACTTGGTTTTAAATAGGTGGCGATAATAGCTATAATCTCATTCCAGCAGGAAACATAGTGATATCTTGTCAGGTCACCCTCTCCCCTCAAAATCTACCCTTTAGTTCTGTAAGGTCACTCAATCTCCCTCATACTCTTGATTTGTATGATCACCCTCTCCCCCTCTACAATCTTGTTCTGTAATGTCACACCTGTCATTCAGTCTGTAGTACTCTTTTGATATCACATTAGGATCTAAAATTTTTAGAATTAGAATTTATAACTTCGGGAGGGTTCTAGATATATTTAAATTGGATTTATTAAACTTTTATTTTTGTTCATAGGTGGAGTGGCAGACGCTCCGTATAGAAGCTAATGCAATAGCCTCCAAGGACAAGTCTTTTACCACTACTCCTTTGAGGCTCATTTCAAACCAAGCCAAGATCAGAATTTCCATCAAAAAGTCATTAAATGGTAATATTTATTGAATAATTGTATGTTGTAGTATTAGTAACTTATTCGATTTAGATTTAATTTAAAAAATCTCATGTTTTTTCTTTTGAAAACAGTCTTTTTATGTTTTGTGTATGGCTTTTGGACCAGGTAAAACTTCATCATCATCTCAGAGTAACTGTTCATACATTTTTCGATGGAGCGTGTTATTTTCTTAAAGATTTGTTCCATATTAAAAAGTTCCATATTTAATGTGGGAAGTTTGTGAATAGATAAATACACATGAATCATATCTCTCACTATAAAGATGTCATGCATCTTTAAAGATTTTGATTTGTTTTGTCCATTTAAATCTTTCAGATTGCAGTATGTTAGCAACGAAGCTACAGTTCAACTTAGATGACCTTCTATGGGTCCTGACTGACTCTCAACTTAAAGCTATGTTGCTATTTATGAAGTCCCTCAAACAAATCATTGAGAAATCCTCTGAACAAACTAAGCGACTCGCGGGAGAAAAAGTCAAAGTAAGAGATTTTCGTATGCAGGGTGTCCACTTTATAAACACATTTCTTATATACATGTACGTGTATACAGAGTGTTACAATAAAAATGTTACAAGTACAAAATGGTCAATATCTTTTATGATTTTGGCATTAACCTTCAAACGAAATTGAACACTTAAAGAGCAAGCTCTCCAGATTAATTTGACACCAGCAGATATGAAATCCTTTGATGGTTGACTACAGGGGACAGATTTTATTGACTCATGTGGAATCTGACTTGTTCCAAGTATATTTTAGGGTAAAACACCAAAATCATAAAAAAATATTGACATTTTTATACTTGTAACATTTTATAAAGACAGTTGAATATCTTATATCAAAATCACAGCCCATCATCTTATAACCTCATTGCATGCATTGGACTTCACTGCTTGTTTCTTACTGTAATGCTTTTTTTTCCAGAAACAGTCCTCAATGGACAAGCCACCACCTAGTCGACAAAACAGGAAGTCCTCACCCTCACAGACTGCTGAGTCTGCCATGAACAAACTATTTGCAAAGTTAGACATCAAAGAAACGTCATATCATCTTTATACAGGTCGACTCGATCTTCATCTATGTGATGATACAACAGCAGGTTGGTGATAGGGGACAGGGAGGGGGGGACATAGTAAGAGGACGTGAAGGGGCAATGCGGGGGACAGGGAGGGGTTAAAGTGAGAGGACATTGAGGGGGAAGCCGTGAGACAAGGAGGATAGGGGTGAAGGTAGAGGGACAGGAAGGGGGTGTAATAGAAGGGGGAGTAATTTGTGTGTTGTCTTGTTATTTGGGGGGAAACATTGTTTTATTGGTTCAGTTATCCTGATTGTGGGCTTGTAAAAGAACACTTTTCCAGAAAAAAACATGAAATAAAATAAATGGAAATGGGTTTCATATCCATTGGAGGTGGTAGGAGCCTATTCAATTAATTTAGTAGTCACTAGTGAACTCAATGAAAATTTGTAGTTGTTCAATATTCTATCATGATTTTGCCCTAAACTGTTGTTTTGTTCTGTATATTGCTTACTCCTTTATTTTTCTGTGTGTTGTTCAGATACATTTGTTGTTTATTGCCACTTTTAGATTTTCCAGTCTTGCATTGAGGTGGGTCTGGTGGAATGAATTTTGGAATTCAATATGCCGAATTACTTATTCTAGGCTACTTTAAGTTACTCTAAACCCCATTCCTAAAACAAGACAATAGGGGGGAGGGTTGTAGAAGGGGTTTACTTCATGCAAGACTGATCTTTACTATTTTCTTTTTTCAAAATTGCTTGATATTGATAACATAGTGTATAGATATAATATATCATTGTGTGATGATAATTTTTATGCATTGTAGTTGATGTAGTTGCAAAACATGTTTTGAATTACCATTTGTTGTGAATTATCATTTGTTGGGGATTACCATTTGTTGGGATAACCAATTGTTGGGATTACCAATTGTTGGGATTACCATTTGTTGGGAATAACCATTTGTTGGGATTACCATTTCCTCGCAAGTCAATTGTCAATGAAAATTTATACCAGGATCTGCACTATTTTTAAAATTGCCCCTTTGTTTCACCACGCTACTTTGTTACACATTTCAGCACTTTAACATAATTCACATTTTAAATATTGTACATTAAACATTGTGTTGCTTGACTATACCATACCTAGTAGTGCTAATAAATGTTTCAGAGCTCCACCTATTTATATTAATATGTTTGATGTTTTATTTCCAGTCGACAGGAAGAAGATTCAGTTTAACCCAACTACTGGTGTGCATTATATTTTTAGTTTCACCTAATGTTTCACCCATTTAAGTTTAAGCTTACTTACTCAGTTTTGTGCAGGTTGTTTGCTTGCTTGCTTGCATGTTCATGTTAATACTGATATACTGGTATGTTAACCTGTGTTTACCTGTTCAGGTATGCCTCTTCATGTTTACCTTTTCAGGTATGCCTCTTCAGGTTTACCTTTTCAGGTATGCCTCTTCAGGTTTACCTTTTCAGGTATGCCTCTTCAGGTTTACCTTTTCAGGTATACCTCTTCAGATTTACCTTTTCAGGTATGCCTCTTCAGGTTTACCTTTTCAGATATGCCTTTTCAGGTATGCCTCTTCAGGTTTACCTTTTCAGGTATGCCTCTTCAGGTTTACCTTTTCATGTATACCTCTTCAGGTTTACCTTTTCAGATATGCCTTTTCAGGTATGCCTCTTCAGGTTTACCTTTTCAGGTATACCTCTTCAGGTTTACCTTTTCAGATATGCCTTTTCAGGTATGCCTCTTCAGGTTTACCTTTTCAGGTATACCTCTTCAGGTTTACCTTTTCAGATATGCCTTTTCAGGTATGCCTCTTCAGGTTTACCTTTTCAGGTATGCCTCTTCAGGTTTACCTTTTCAGGTATACCTCTTCAGGTTTACCTTTTCAGATATGCCTTTTCAGGTATGCCTCTTCAGGTGAACCTCTTCAGGTTTACCTGTTCAGGTATGCCTCTTCAGGTTTACCTTTTCAGGTATGCCTCTTCAGGTGTACCTCTTCAGGTTTACCTGTTCAGGTATGCCTCTTCAGGTTTACCTTTTCAGATATGCATTTTCAGGTTTACCTTTTCAGGTGTACCTCTTCAGGTTTACCTTTTCAGGTATGCCTCTTCAGGTTTACCTTTTCAGGTATGCCTCTTCAGGTTTACCTTTTCAGATATGCCTTTTCAGGTATGCCTCTTCAGGTTTACCTTTTCAGGTATGCCTCTTCAGGTTTACCTTTTCAGGTATGCCTCTTCAGGTTTACCTTTTCAGGTATACCTCTTCAGGTTTACCTTTTCAGGTATGCCTCTTCAGGTTTACCTTTTCAGGTATGCCTCTTCAGGTGTACCTCTTCAGGTTTACCTGTTCAGGTATGCCTCTTCAGGTTTACCTTTTCAGATATGCCTTTTCAGGTTTACCTTTTCAGGTGTACCTCTTCAGGTTTACCTGTTCAGGTATGCCTCTTCAGGTTTACCTTTTCAGGTATGCCTCTTCAGGTTTACCTTTTCAGGTATGCCTCTTCAGGTTTACCTTTTCAGATATGCCTTTTCAGGTATGCCTCTTCAGGTTTACCTTTTCAGGTGTACCTCTTCAGGTTTACCTGTTCAGGTATGCCTCTTCAGGTTTACCTTTTCAGGTATGTCTCTTCAGGTTTACCTTTTGAGGTATGCCTCTTCAGGTTTACCTTTTCAGATATGCCTTTTCAGGTATACCTCTTCAGGTTTACCTTTTCAGGTATGCCTCTTCAGGTTTACCTGTTCTACCTGATCTAATTTACCTAAGATCCATTTCTCTAAACATTGTAAAGTTACTAGACAAAGAATGTCAACTCTTCAGGCACATAGCCAAGATTTGCCAAATGAGGTTCACTTTTTGAAAAATTCCAGGGGGGGTTCACTTGTGACAATTTTGGTCCAAAAATGGCCAAAATCACTTAAAAAGTGCTCAGAATAGTGGAAAACTGCATGATTTTGAAAGATTTTTTGGCCAGGGGGGGGTTCTCGAACCCATCAAACAACGGCTATGGGCCTGACTCTTTGTCTAGTTTGCAATTATCTGTAGGTCTGACTAAAAGGCATATGATTTGCAGATCTGTAACTTGATCATGATTGGAGGAATTGATTCCCATCCCTTTCTTGCTTTGTTCCCTCTAACTACCTTAATACTGTTATAATCTTTGCTTGGTTTTATTATTTGCTTAATTTTTCCTTGCTTAGTTTCATTCTTGGTTTTGCATTTTGCACACTGGATAATTGGACAATATATAAAAGAATGATAGTGAAATATTACAAAAGAGACATCTCATGAACTGGCAAATGTATTTGGTAAAAATGGCTTGAGAAAAGTGATTTCATTTACAGAAGTGATTGGCTTTATACAATGATATCCCCAGAATGTAATCACCCACTTAAGATTGTGAAAATAGGAGTACATTTGATGAAAGAGTATGCATTATGAAAATTAGAAATTTGCATCTGCTGAGAAATAAATTTTGTGGAGGATACTGTTACAGAGATACTACAAATTCAAGGTGTCTGCTGAATATCTTTGTCAATATGAAATCGAATTTATTTGAGGTAAAAAATAGATAAAATACAAAATAGGTGTAAGGCTTATGGAGATGCTAAGAGGTGCTTGATCTACAGGAAAGAAGGTATTCCAAAATATAATACAAGGCATAAAAGTCATATACACCCTTCATCACCCTTTGGTCTTTGCCCAGTAAAGTTCTGGCTGGTGGCAATTATTATTCTGCAAAGTGGCGGTACTGGTGGCAATTAATATTTTTACATATAAAATCCATTTGGAATGATTCAATTTCTTTTTTCAATTTCAATTTATTTATAATTCCTTGATATTGATATAATTACAAAAGTATGCCTTTGTTAACTTAATAACATTAGCGGCATGGTAAATATGAAAAATATAACACAGGAATTTACACAAATTTAATCTTATTTTATCGAATTTTATTGAATTCATGTCTTAAACAAGTATACTACCAGTCCAATAAAGCACTTTAATTTTAATTCATTAAAATAATGTACAATATATAGGAGTATTATTCATATTACATGTGTGTTTTTTTAAAACAGAAAAATACAAAAAGAATCATTTTAGCCTTCTTTGAATTAACAGGCATCCTTGCTTATATTAAGATATTACTATTTTTAAATCAAATGCCTGAAAGTAATTCAAAAAAACTAGGGATGATATTAGGAAAGCAAAAACTCTTAACTTAACACAATGTGAATTTAATCGAATTTTGAAAATATGTAAATTATAAATATGTTATTTGCAGACAAGGCCCACAACAGACATATAGAGGGCGGTGCTATGCAAGTGACCTTGTACAAGCTGTCATTGGACCACTACCCCTTCCATCCTGCAGGTAACAATATGATTTTGACAAGCACATTTTGTGTCTGTAAAAACTTGTAGATATTTTTAAGAATTATTGCTATGTTCTCTCTAGTGTTAGTTTGAAAGTACAGATATATATTCTGTGAAGTTTTATGAGTTCAGTACTCAACATTTAAAAAGTCACCAGTTTTGGAAATACATCTAGAGAAAATGAAGACTAGAAGACTTAAATGAACTATGAGTGCATACAATATACTATGCAGTATTATGTATTTATATTTTTAGTTTAATCATAATGATCATACATGCATACTTTTTGTTTCAGGGTCAGACCGCAAGCACTGGGCCAAGTATGATGACGGCATGGCAGCAAGACAGGCCTGGGTGAAGCAACTGTTTTCATCATTCACTGAAGACTTTTCACGAGTGAAAGCAGCATTAGCTGAGCATATGCCTCCTACACCTACAACTTCACCAGCACATAGTCAAGGTAAGGATTCAGCATATAGTCAAGGTAGGGATGTAGCATATAGTCAAGGTAGGGATTCAGCATATAGTCAAGGTAGGGATTCAGCATATAGTCAAGGTAGGGATTCAGCATATAGTCAAGGTAGGGATTCAGCACATAGTCAAGGTAGTGATTCAGCATATAGTCAAGGTAGGGATTCAGCATATAGTCAAGGTAGGGATTCTGCAGATAGTCAAAGTAGGGATTCAGCATATAGTCAAGGTAGGGATTCAGCATATAGTCAAGGTAGGGATTCTGCAGATAGTCAAAGTAGGGATTCAGCATATAGTCAAGGTAGGGATTCAGCATATAGTCAAGGTAGGAATTCAGCACATAGTCAAGGTAGGAATTCAGCACACATAGTCAAGGTAGGAATTCAGCACATAGTCAAGGTTGCGATTCAGCATATAGTCAAAGTAGGGATTCAGCACATAGTCAAGATAAGGCTTCAGCACAGAGTCAAGATAAGGTACCAGGCCATTGTCAATGTAAGGCCCAAAAACACGTTGCCATAGCTTTATGAATTAACCATAATTGCAAAAAAATTACCAATTTGTTATTGGAACACATAAAGCATTTTACTCTATTTGTTCTGATCAGTCAATGCAACAGTGGAAATTGTATATCTATGTCAATATATGCCTGAAAGATATCATGTTGAAGCATCTTATTTTGTATTATAGGCCCTGCTCAGTCAAGGCAACAGCCAATGTCAGGAAAACTGCTGGAGAGTGCTTTCGTGCTGCGCCTAGAGGACTTCACTTTATATAGAGTATCCTCGTCAGATAGTTCCAGAAGTGTGCCAAAAAAATTCCTCCATTCTGACAAGAAATCGTTGAAACTCCCTCAAGAGATGTCGTCGGTCCACTTTGAGTACACTGATTATTATTTCCCAGAAGGCATTGACTATCCAGGTAGGTGATACTGTTGTCATAGTAATAACAGATGTGTCCAGACTAAGGGATACTGTTGTCATGGTTATGTTGTTGTCCTGGTAAAAATAGATGCATACACATTAGGGAATACAGTTGCTATGGTGATATTGGTGCATACACATCATAACAACCATTACATATACTTTGTATAGCGCTTATTAATCTGCCTAAAAGTAATTGTAGGAAACCAACACAACTTATGTGTTTTATGTAATATGTTTTATGTAATTTATGTAATATTCTCACGCTAACACACACACACGGGGACAAATATTTATATCAATGAGGACTAGGAATAATATAAAGTAAGATTTCGATATAACTATAGTAGTTTACACATTTTGGGCAAGCATTGAGTTATATCAACAATAACACAAAGTTTGAGTTGAGTACTTCTTCAAGTAATATAAAGATGGCATTACAATAATGGTTAATGAAATGAATGAAATCTTGAGCGAAGGGGTGATGTCGGAAGGCAGTCCAACCCAGTGGGGATCAACCCCATGACCTCTCATTATCAATAATTATTGATTCCTTTATATTCTAAATGTCAATGTTTGTAAATGACATTTTTGTAGCAGTTTCTGATGAGTACTTGTAAATTGCCTTCTATGGCTCGTTTATTCTATAGAATAAATGAATATTTTTTAATAAAAAACGTGTTGAATGTCAATTCATCAAATCAACTGAGTTAATCACTTAACCCATGTCAAGCTTACTTAACCATATTTCTCTCCAAATTTAAGAGGAAGAGTCTGGTTTTTTGTAAATATTTACTGTATAGAGTATTGGGTATGTACCTTTCTAGGATATTCTTTGTTTTGTGAATTCCTTTCTCCTCTATTGAGCATTTTAAACGGTGACCATTGAGGAATTTTATGATTGGGTTTAAGTAATAGGGATTATGACATTTCAAATCAATGGTCAAGGTGATCTAAACCTCCAGTATTGTGTCACAATTTTGTTGCACAATTATTTATTATGTCACCATTTATTATGTCACCACTAAGAACTATTTTGTAGTCAATTTTTGGCATAATGGTATAAGTATTCAGCATTTGTAACAATTGTTGTGACATTTTGTCATGTTAACGCTTTGCATCAACTTATTTTCATTATGTAAATGTCATTATTCATATGTGGTAATTGTATTATGTCACCACCAAAAGTGGTGACATATTATTATCTCTCAAATGTTTGTGGGTGGTGTTCGAAGTTCGACATTTGTAACAAATGACTGGTGACATTTTAATGCCTTGTGTGTCAGAAAGGTCTCATTTTTAACACCTATTTGATATTTAAGTCATTTTTTGTTGTTTCGTGCAATGAAGTCAACGCTACATGACACTGGGACCATTTCTCCAAACATTGTAAATTACAGGTACACAAATCAATTGTCCATTTTGTAAATACTTAGGTATATAAATCTAAGAAAAAACAAATTTATTTTGCATTTGTAGATCTATGACTTAAGCTATATGGAGTTACATTGATCCCTGGTCAAGCTTAACACAAACATGATCATTGAATAAAACACTGACTTAATTGTCATTCTGTTAGCATTTCATGATTGTCTGGAACAGTTAAGTTACATTGTTAGGATGTGTCAATGTCACCCTCCCTCAGACATGTCAGATTATTCACATTAGCCCTATGTAAATAATGGAGAATTTAACGTCATAAATGATTTATAATATGGTTAAGGTCATGCCAGTTGGTCATTCTGTCCATCTTGGATTTCCAAGGTATGATGTTTTCATTTTCATTCATTTGATTGAAAATCAAACTGGGAAACGAGTATGCATTCTGTCTAGGTTAACATGTACTCTGTACTGTGTAACAAAACATGACAAGTGGTCTTAACCATTTTGTAGAGTACCATAATCACTACCACTTTGTGTACCATCAGAAATGTTACCATTGTGTATAGTATCAAAATCTTTACCATTTTATATTACATCAGAAATATAACGAATTTTAAACTATCAGAATCTTTATCATTTTGTAGAGAATCAGAATCTTAACTGTTTTGTTCAGTATCAGAATCTTTACCATTTTGTAAAGTACATGTAACAGATTTTTTACCATTTTGTAAAGTACAATGTAACAGAATCTTTACTATTTTGTGAATTACATGTATCATAAATGTTATCATTTTGTAAAGTGCATGTATCAGAAATGTTACCATTTTGTAAAGTACATGTATCACAAATGTTACCATTTTGAAAAGTACATGTATCACAAATGTTACCATTTTGTAAAGTACATGTATCACAAATGTTACCATTTTGAAAAGTACATGTATCACAAATGTTACCATTTTTTAAAGTATGAATCTTATCAGACTACTAGGAGTAGGCATCTTTGGTCAAGACCCATCTGTTCAAAATTTCTATGATGCACTCTGGGAGTGACACTCCCTTTCTTGCTCTTTTTGGATGATTTTTGGAAATAGAAACAAGCTCGCTATGAGAGATACAGGATATAGCGAGTCTAATAGCTTCTGAACAGACATATCAAGGGATTTCTACATTTTACTCTAAAAGGTTTTTGAGTTGTGCACAGTGAGGTTATTACATTATTATACAGTAGTTATTGTTATTTTTATTAGAAAAAAGGCTGCCATGGTCATAAATGTTACTAATTGGTTGTAAATGCGATTTTCGTGGTATGGGGGAGTATTTGTTAGGATAAGTCATAAGAAATTGAATGAGTTATAAATTGTATAATTGCTTATGAATTTGGTTTTCATGGTAAGAGGGATGGTTTTTAATGTTTTCATAATGAAAGCTCAGGAAATGTGACTTGTGTGATTTTCATAGTATGGAGGATGTTTATTTATGTTTTTATTATGAACGAGGATGATATGTAATGTATGTGAAATCATCAGTTCTTTAATGTGATCTTCGTGTCATGGGAGTGTAATATGCGTCATATTGATCTTCGTGATTTGGTATAGAACAGTGGGTAAAACAGCCTCTCTATAATTTCCCATACCTGCCAATCTACCGTATTTTTACGGGAATCTACCGTTTTCCATAAAAAATGACAAACTACTGTAAAGAATTAACCATTTTTTCCCGTAAAAACTACTGCATTTTTCAAAAACTTTCGAAAAAATCTACGACAATTCAAAAACTACCGCAAATTTTTGGTCTTAGGTTGGCAGGTATGATTTCCCCAGGATACATTAAATCAATGTGCCTTTTCTTCAGTTTAAATGTAATTTTTCATTGCATTGGGAAATATTGTGTCTGTAATGCCATTAAAGAACCTAGCTCGAGATAGTAAAACCCCTGTATACGATATCCCATGGGACGTCAACTTTGTGCCATTTCTTCAGTTTAAATGTAATTTTTGATGAGATTGAGGAATATTGTGTCAGTAATTCCATTAAAGAACCGAGGTCAAAAAAGTAAAACTCCTATATATGACATCCTGAGGATATGACTGATTGTGCCATTTATTCAGTGTTAAATGTAATTTTTCATGGGATTGGGGAATATTGTGTCTGTAATTCCATTAAAGGAATATTCCTTGCCAGACCCTTTCTCTCTTGATATGGTAGCTATAATCATATATATAGTTTCCATATTTAGCAAAACATGGGAAAATGTTTTAATATGGTCAATATTGATCATTTAAAAATCTAGTGCTTATTTCCAGTGAGCTGCCATCTTTTAAGATTTCTTGCAGGAAGTGATGTCATCAACTCTCAACTTCTATAACCTTGTCCATAACAGTATAGGAAAGTAGCACACAATCACTTCTAGACAAGTGATCATTACTTTCTGTGCAAAAATATTTTCAGGGCTTGTCAACTTAGAATAAAAGAAGAGATTTTCAGAAGGATTAAATAAGATACAAAGTTGAAAAAGTATATTTAGCTGGTTTTGTAATTCTTAATAGCTCCTCACCTAATGCTATATGCAAAGTTGAGAGTCGATGACATCACTTCCTGTGTGAAATTTTAAAAGAT